AAGGTTCTATGTCAACTTGACTAGGCCAGGATCTCCAGCGGTTTAACAGTTAAGATGTGCTTATTCCCATGGTGATGAGACTTAATACAGGCACAGTTAACTCTATGATGAGCAGCCATAAATAGCCAATCAACTGAAGGAATACTTCCCAATATAAGGATCACATGAGAAAAGACTCTCACTCGCTCTCTTCTGCTGGGGACCTGGCACTCTACAATTTTAAGTCATTGCCTTGATAATACATGTCTCTTTATATTTGTTGTTGTTAAGTGCTGTTGAGTTGGTTCTGACCCCTAGCGACCCTGTATAGGGTTTCCAAGGAGCAGCTGGTGAGCTTTAACCTCCGACCTTGCAGTTCAAACCGACTTTGAAGTCCAGCGCATTAATCCACAGTGCCACACCAGGATTCCACTTCTCTTCATATATATTGTTGTTATGTGCCGTTCAGACTCATAGCAACCCTTTACAGGGTTTCCGAGGCTGTAAATCTTTATGGGAGCAAAAAGCCTTGTCTTTCCCCTGCAGAACAGCTGGTAGTTTTGAACTGCTGACCGTGAGATTAGCAGCCTGATTTGTAACCACTACGCTACCAGAGCTCTATATATATATGTTCGTATGTAATACACCGACATATGTAAGTTTCACTGGTTTTGCTTCTTTAGAAAACCCAGCCTAAGACAGAGGGCAATATACAAAAAGAGGGAGGTTGGCAGAAGAATGATGAAGACAGGTGAAAACATAGGGAGGTATGCAAAGATTAAAGAGGACAGAAGTAAACAGTGTTATATACACAACTCTGTAACAACAGAATCCTGCAGGTAGATACATGGACAGACACATAGGCTGAATGAGAATGGGAGGGAAAGTGGAAGTATACCCACAGACATATAATAATTTGTAAGAGAATATTTATACATGGATATTTGTACCTTTGTTACAAACACACCTAGGAAAGTGGTGGAGCATACAGGGGGCAAAATGATGTCATTTTCTTAGATATTATCAAATATCTTAAGGCAATGAGTTTCTGATCCTGGGACTCAGGACCATAGTCTCAGGGGCACCATGGTCAACTGGCATAACATAGTCCACAAACAGTGTTCTACACCCTGTCATGGTGATTAATAACTATGATTTTAAAAGCTAATGAGCAATTATCTAAAGTGCAACTACTAGTCTCTCCCTGTATGGAAGAAGAAAGAGGGATGAAATTTGAAGATGCTTGGGATCAACTAATCCAGTGGACCAATGGAGCAGGTGAACATCAGTCACCATGACTCTGACACCAGAACCATGTGGTGGCCAGCGACAACTACCAACTGCTCTAAAAAGGGTCACATTAGAAATTCCCGGCTAGAGTGGCAGAAAATGTGGAACAAAACTCAAAATTATTAAAAAAAATAAAAATAAAAAGACTGAGCTTACTCATAGGACATTAGAGGAAACTGAGACAATGGCCCTTGACCACCCTTCAGGTCTGGAATAGAACTCATCCTCGTGGCCCAATTTTCAGTCAAGCAGTAAACAGGTATATATATTGAGGCAACATTAGTAAAATGTGCTCACTACAGAATGGTCAATCATTCAAGATGAAAAGAGCAACATTTTCCTAAGGGCAAAGTGGAGAAGGGATGGGAAAGAGGGTGGAATGGAAATATGAACTATAAGAAGGAAATGGGCTAACTGTCGTTCCACGAAGGAGATTGCAATCATAGAGATGAAACAAAGTGTAGTATTTGTTAAATGTAAAATGACGATCTATAAACCTTCATTCAATTCACAATAAAAAGTTTAAAAAAAAAAAAAGTCTCACATCGAAATGCATTGACAAATGATGCTCAATATTTTTTCTTATTATTTTTGAAGAAAAGGGCAGAACATTCTCTTTCTGATAATGGTAGTAAATGCAACTTATCCCAGAAATATGAAGACAGATCAGAAATGCAGAAATGAATGGCCTTATTAAAAAGTATTTCAGACTCATAATTTTCCCACAAACTAGAACCATTATTCCAACATCTTGATTAGTCTAGCTAGATTATCATTCCTGGCAATATATAATGTTATGGATTAAACTGTATGCCAAAAAAACAATGCGTTCCTTAAGACAACACGGCTCTGTGATACAGGGATAGAGGCATAGTCTGAAGATGGGAAATAATACTAAGATGCTTGACTGTCTTATGAATATTGGTTTCCCTTGCCTACTATTGTAAAATAGATACTTGAGTGGGATAGAAGGGACTGTCGGGAAACATGACTACAGAAAGCCTGTAAGCCCGTCTTCAGCCTATAACTGACTGGAATACCTAAAAGGGATTCTACAACTTGCCCAGTGAAATAGGTCTCTTGTGGAGCCTATGTTGTATATAGGACCTTAGTTGGAATCCTGGGCCTCATCCAGAACCTTCTGAGGTGGGGCATTCCCACTAGAAAGGACAAGCAGACCCGCCTGGAATAGCTGGAGCAACAGAAGATACATCTTCAAAGAAAGATCGATCAGGAAAAACCCAAAACAAAAATGACAGCATGATTGGCTAGTATAAGAACAAGCAAGTTGTTCACCGGGAAGCCATCAAGGCAAGCAATCAAATCCCTTCAGGTCAAACCCACCTCTATGACTGAACCTCAAAGAGAACACATGAGCAGACATGCAAGCTTGCTGGCAATCACACTGGTCTATCAGTGAGTGGAAGAGGGGGAAAGGCAGCAATGAAGAAATGGGCTGAGTTCAGCCATCTTCCATAGACTCCCATTGACCTTGAGATGAGAGAAGAGGAAGGGCTGGTTGGTCCAAAGTGTGGTGAGACCTGGGGATTCCTGAGCCCATGGACAAGGACATAGCCACAGAGGGCTAGAGCTGAGAGTGAAGCATCCAGCTGATATGAAGTGAGGAGAGACGTACAAAAACACTCAAACTTTTAAATAGTACCCATTTCACCTAGCCTCTATGGCTTGATAATCAGAACTCGACCAGAGGAAGATAAAAAAGAAAATAATTTTTGATACAGGAAACGAGGGTAAATTGCTACAATTCGATAAACATGCCCTATACTCATGGAGGTAGTAGCTCAAAATACCAACAGAGAAGGAAGGAATCTTCATATCAAGTATCAATGCTATCCCCTCTCTATACAAGAGTAGATAGGGACAGGCAACTTAGACAATGGCTACCTAAAATGAGGGCGCGATAAAGGCACGAAGTGACTGGCTTACGAGGTTTCAAGAGGGAATTTAGTTTAAGAGCATGGGGGGAAAGATAAGTCCCATTAAATAGCTTTCATCTTGTCTAGATGGGTCTGGTAAAAAGAGATGGGAATAAGATTCTTATGATTCTTATCCCCATCTCTTTTAACAGTCATGATAACAAATAGTGAATAATTGTTATCATGACTAATTGCAACTTTCACAATTGTAAAGGTAGAAGTTTTGTAACAAAAATGGGGGAGCAGTTAATCTTACAGTCCAGAAACAGAGGACCTTAGGACCATCAAGGGAGAAGAGCACGTACAGAATGTGGGACCCTATCCAGAGCAGCAGCACCAGAGATGGAGGCAAAGATGGGACATGGAGAGAGGAAGCATCTAAAGACTCTAGATTCAGGGAAAGAGAGGGACTGAGACCTGGCAGCCAGGAGATAGACTTGCAGAATGTGCCCTTGGTTGTGTAAATTATTATATATGCCTGAAAGTTTCAAAAAAAAAAAAAGCTAAATGAATAGCGAGAAATACTGGTAACTGATGATACATGGAGGGGAGTATAATCATTGTAATGAAACGAAGTATATGATTTGTTGAAAGTAAAACTGATGATCTGCCCTATAAACTTTCACTCAATTCACAATAAAAACTTAAAATAAAATAAAACAATGTGTTGGAGTCCTCCTAACCTCAATACCTATGAATATAATCCTATGTGGAAATAGGGTTATGTTATGCTAAGCAGGCAATGTCAGAGAAGGATGGATACTAAACTTTTAATGACATGTTGTTGTTGTTGTGTCTAAGGGCTGATGAGCCAGTTCTAACTCATAGTGACCCTTTATAGGGTTTCCAAGGAGAAGCTGGTAGATTTGAACCACCAACCTTGTAGTTAGCAGTCCCAGTGCTAGTCCTGCAGCACCACACTTAAGACTCTTCTAATTGACATAAAGTGCAATATAGACAAAGATAAGGCAACACAAACAGAAAGACAGTATCTGATGATGACAGAGGCAGATGAATCTATAAACCAAGGCACTCCAAGGACTGTGACTACTAGAACCTGACCAACACAAAGACCTTTCCCTAGAGCCAACACCCTGAATTGGAACTTCGAACCTCCTAAGCAATGAAAAAAACTCATCTCTGTTCTTTAGAGCCACTCACTTGTGGTATTTCTGTTACATAAGCACTAAAATATGCAGGTAAGCAAAGACTTAAACCTGTGCTATCTAATATGGTTTCACATAGTTACTGAGCACTTGAAATGTGGCTGATCCAAATTGGGATGCACTATAAGTACAAATTACATACCAGATTTTGAAAGTTAACAAATAATTTAGAATATCTCAATATTTTTCCATTGAATACATGGTAAAATTATAATATTTTGGGTATACTGAGTTAAATAAAATATATTATTAAAATTGACTTCACCTGTTTCTTTTTACTTTTTTTAATGTGGCTACTAGAAATTTTTAAATAACATATGTAGCTTGCATTTACAGCTCACATTAAATTTCTAGTGGCCAGGAGTGACCTAAGCAATCAAAGAAACAATACTATATCAGATCCACTTCTGGGTTCCTAAACATTTTCAAAATGCAAGCAAAAGAATGAAGAATGAGTATTCAGAGGACATGTGGTAAGTACAAGAACAACAGAAGCAAAAGCAGCTATTATGCTGGTTTAAGTAAATAATTTTCTAGAAAAGAAGATGCAATTACAGATTCTTTTTACTTTTGCCCTGAAGCGTCCTGAAGGCTCCCTTCCTGGGCATGAGTTCACTCTCCTGCGTACCTTTGATAAACTCTGGTCTGTATGCCTTCCGCAGCTGCTCCAGGAAGCTGTTGTAGAAGCCCTCAGCCTGTGCTGTGGGCATGGCCAGGTGGAAGTCAGGCTTGTTCCCCTTGAGGATACTCTGCAGGGTGAACTGGCTGACACAGAGCACCTCATACTGTTTGTCCATCACACTTTTCGACCAGTGCTTTCCGCTCTCATCCTCAAACACACGCAGGTTTAAAATCTTTCGGACCCTGCAATGAAAAGCAGCAATGAGAACTACCTGGTGAATAATGGGCCCTCACCACAACCCAAACAGGCAAAACCGCACCAGGATTTCGTCAAATAAGGACAGAATGCTGATTCCATCACTTACAGGAGACACGAATGTGGACAAAGCACTTAACTACTCCATGTCTCAATTTTCTTGTAATAATGTCCTATTCCACAGGGGTTGTTTGGGGATTCCCTTATTTTTTGCCAGTCCCTCCAATTTTCAGGAGCTACTAGTGGGAACTGGGGTAAAGATGACAACCACCCATTATGTGCTTCTTCAAGTCAGTGGATATTTTTTTAATGGGTCAAATTCTAATTTTTTATAGAAGAATTCAATCTTTACATTGGAATAAATTATATCACATTTTTACATACCTTCTAGGAATAACTCAAAATGAACAATTTAGCAAATACAATGAGATAAAACCCATCATTGTTGCAAATATACAAAGGAATCTAGGGAAAGATACTTTGAGAACTATGCCACATGATCCTTAAGCCTCAGAGAGGTCTGTCCTATACTTGTTAATGACAAAAGGTTGTCATCACTACCTGGGCAAAGAAGCTGACCAGGTAAAATGTAGTAGGTCAGATCTGAGAAACACAGTAAGTAACCACCTATATGAGAGTTGAAATTCCACCATTTGAAAGCCACTTTTTTTTATGGTATTGAAGACAAAGGCAGTTAACACTCCCAGGGGGCTTCCTGTGGGCCAAAATTCTAAAAGCTAATTCTAAACACAAATTCATAGGGTGGAATAGTGGTGGGTTTGTCTTATACTGAGTCACAATTCTTACCTACCAAGTTAAGTGTTAGCTCTCTAGTGCATCAGGACCATAAGAAGACCAACACTCAGAGCCCCAGTTTTCAGACACTTACACCCCTTTATGGGAGAAAGATGAGGCTTTCTACTCCCATGAGGATTTAAAGCCTTGGAAACCCAACTCAGGGGTTGCTATGAGTAGGAAAAGATTCTGTGGCACTTAACAACAACAACAACCCCTTATATACCCAGGGGACAGAAATTAAATTACCAACATCTGAAGTAATACTGAACTGGCATTACCAATCATCAGCACCTCATAGGAATTAGGTTCTGAGTCTAATTTTCACCCTCAAGCAAAAGAGACAATAGCAAAACATTAAGTCCTGATAGGCAAGACTGGGTGGGTTCTGGGTACCTAAGGAGCAAAATAAACAGATCTAAGCTGCGTGAAAGCACTCGACTGCTAACCACAAGGTCAACGGTTCAAACCTACCAGCCACTCCTCAGAAAATCTATACAGGGTCGCTATGAGTTGGAAGCAACTCAACAGCACTTAATAAGAAGTATCTAAAATGGGCCAAGTAGTGGTGGTGGTGGTTGCTGCTGTCAAGTACCATTGAGTAGGTTCTGTGTCATAGCAACCCTGTATAAGGTTACCAAAGAGCGGCGCATGAATCTGAACCACTGACCTTGCAGTTCAAACCAACTGTCAGGGACAGATTAGGACCCCTGGGCCCTAGGCCTCTCTTACTCCACCCCTTTGCCCTGAGTCCTCTCCTATTAAACAGGGATCAAGGAAGAGGGGAGGACATCTCTAGTCCAACAAGAATAGTAACACTGAAAAGAACAGACTGGAGACAAAGATTAGGATATCAAAACCTGAAACCCTAAGAGAAGCAATTGGCCGCAGACAGACAACCCATGAAGATAACATTTATAGCTGACAACTGCAGAAGGCACTCCGTTTCCAAGATTCCTGTGCCCCATCACTAAAAAAACAATGAATATTCAACATACCACTCCTCCTAATCAATATGTATTAGCCCACTCTTGGAGGAAGAGACCCCATACCTTTATGAGCCAGTACACCCCAACCCCAAAGGGTCTTCTGCACTCGCGGGAGACAGACCCACTTCTCTCTTTGACATGTACTTTTGCTTTGACCTACTCTAATCTATGCTCGCTAATTCTACCAGGTCTTCTCCACTCAAAGAGACAGACCCACTTCTCTCTCTGAAGCATACCTTTGCTTTGCAATAAAGAGCTTCTAAGTGAATACTTACTGTTCATGTGTGACTGAGAAGCAGCGATTCAGTGGGACTAATTCTTTAGACCTCCCAAGAGCAAAAGGGACCAGGGTACAAATGTGACATAACCATGCAGTCCAGTGAACTACCCCACAGTGCCACACCAGGACTCCCAAGAGCCACTGAGTCAGTTCCAACTCATAGCAACTCTGCATAGGGTTTCCGAAAAGCAGCTGGTGAGGTTGAACCAATAATCTTACAGTTCAAACCAACCTGCAGTCCAGTGCATTAACCTGCAGCACCACACCAGGTAGGAAGAAGAAAAGCATCACAGGAGAGGATCAACTATACTAAGAGAGTCCATTAAGCAGAAGCAATGGCAAACTCCCTTAATTAGGTCAAAATAGCACCCAGATTCTAATAGGGCTCTTGTTTTTCACTAAGTATGTGTGCATGACTCTGGGCATATGATTCAACGTTTCTGAGATCCAGGTCATGATGTATATATACAATGCATCGCCAGGCATTTTTAAATATAAGTAGTGCCCAGAGTTTATTGGCCAAATTGAAAAACAGAAATCGTTTATGAGAAGAAAAGAGACTCAGTGTTTGCATTAAGAGAAAAAGAGGTCTAGTTCACAATGTAAAAACAAATCAGCACAATGGTGAAATTGTGCTTCTACTCCACAGGTAACCTGATGCTGTTATATGCCATCAAGAGTTCCAATTATCAGTGACCCTGTATAGAATCTCCAGGGAGCACCTAGTGGGTTTGAATGGCCAACCTTGTAGTTGGTAGTCCCGTGCTTATCCTGTAGCACCACAACAGGAGTCTGTACAGGTAACCTAGTGGGTGACATACTAGATTCTTCCTCAGACTAGAAAACATACTTCATCTAATAGGACAATTGATACAGGTAAAAAATAGTATGGAAATGTCCAGTATGACCACCACGTATACCATTCAAATAGCAATGATGTGGAAATCCGCATCTTACATGTACTCCAATTCTTTCTGTGTATCTTCCAGAGAAATACCCAGCAACACACAGAGGCCTTGTCCAATGGCACTGATCTGCTCTCCTCCGACTGGAAGGAAATGAACATGGAAAAAGATTCAGAATCTAAACGATACGAAGCATTTTTAAGTAACTAAGGGGAATATTTTAAATATCCCTCATACTTCTTGTAATTTCATTGGCTAAAGCCAGTAAGCATTCAAAACTAAAAGAAGCCAAATAAATGCAGTGAGACAATCATAGTTCATGTTCATTCTGATTTTATATCTGGAAATAATGGCAGCTATGAAGTGAAGCAACACTTTAGGATTACATTTTCCTCTGTATCATCTTGAGTAATACACCTAAAACTTCCTATGTTTGAGCTTACCCATCTGTACACACAGAATAGTATTTTCTCTCCGCCCTTTCCCCCACCCCCAAGAAATCAGCAAAGCTGGTAACACACAGAGGGCACAAAGGGAAAACATTCACACCATGAAAACAAAGACGCATGATTATTCCTACTTATTAGAGAATGTATTACACAAAGAACCCATGATTTCTGAGTTAAACTTCAACTAAACAAACTGTTTTTACCAGTTAGCACTGAAATTATATTTAAGCCAATAATCTAAGCTTTTAAAATCATACACCTCATCCATAAAAAATATCTTAGTACACATTCCCAACATTTGTGTATTTATCACCAAATGCATTCCCTACTATTAGACACTATTTCAAATGTTAGTACAGAATATTTAGACCAAAATTCATCATTATGATGATGAATCTAACATAACATTTGAAATGGTGATCTTAAGCATTTTCTTTCCTTTTTGGGGTGCATGGGGTAGGGTGGGATAATTTTTTGCCAATTTTTATTAGATTATATTTGTTTTATTATCTCGTCATATGCTGACTTTTCTTACAATCAGGATTACAATGGAGAGTGTTTTATCATTTTCTTGTTGTTTTCTTCTTCTGGATAATAATACCTATAAACATCTCTAATAAGACAACTTTCCCTAAACTCCTTTTAATATTTGCATCCCATCATGTGTTGTTGTTGTTAAGTGCAGTCGAGTCGATTCCGATGCATAGTGATCCTGTATAGGGTTTCCAAGGAGAAGCTGGTGAGCTTGAATCTCCGAACTTGCAGTTCAAAGGACTTCACAGTCTGACGCATTAGCCCACAGCGCCACACCAGGACTCCCCCATCATGTGGGACAGCTGTATTCTACAAGTGGATTAACCATTTCATTTTGTTGGATATATGGTTTGAGTCCCATCATTTGCCTGTCAGTCTGTCATGCTGTGGTAACCTGCATGTTTCTGTAAGGCGGGAATATATCCCACCAGTATTTCCAACCTCAGTAGGTTAACCCACGGTGGACAGGCTTCAGCAGAGCTTCCAGACTAAGACAGACCAGGAAGAAGGACCTGGAAATCTACTTCTGAAAAATACTGGCCAGTGAAAATTTTATGAATAGCAACAAGACACTGTCTAATATACTACCAGAAGGTGAGACCCTTAGGTTGAAAGATACTCAAAATACAACAGGGAAAGAACTGACTCCTCAAAGTAGAGTTGACCTAAATGACATGAATGGAGCAAAGCTTTAGGGGTCTCCAACTGTTAATGTGACATGACTCAAAATGAGAAGAAACTGTGGCAAACATCCATTAATAATTGTAACACAGACTACACAAAGTATGACTCTAAAAAAGTGGGAAGTCATTAAAATGAAATTCAAGAAATTCATATCAATATCCCAGGCATCAGTATTGGAGAGCTGAAATGGACTGGTATTAGCCATTTGGAATTGGACAATCATATGGTCTACTACACCAGAAATGACAAATTAAAGTGAAATGACATCCCATTCACTGTCAAAATTAACATTCTGAGCTCTATCTTGGAGCACAATACTGTCAGTGACAGGATAATATTGATAGAGCATAGTAGTTACGAATCGGGCTACTAACCTCAAGGTCTGCAGTTTGAAACTACCAGCCGTTCTGCGGGAGAAAGATGAGGCTTTCTGCTCCCGTAAAGATTTATAACTTCAGAAACCCTGTGCAGGGTCACTAAGAGTCAGAACCAACTCCCCAGTACTTAACAACAATAGCAACAAAGAAAACCAGTTAATATGACTATTATTCAAATTTGCCTTCCAACCACTAATGCCAAAAGTGAAGACGTTGAAGATTTTTACCACCTTCTATAGTTTGGAATTGATCAAACTTTGAGTAAAGACGATTGATAATTTATTGGTGAAAGGACTGCAGAGGTTGGAAACAAAGAAGGTTCAGTAGTTGGAAAATACAGCCTTGGTGAATAAACCACATAGGAGATTACATGATAGAATTTTACAAGACCAACAACTTTTTCTTTGCAAATACCTATTTTCAACAACATAAATGACCACTACATATGTGGACTAAAGCTCTGGGAAACGACAGAATACAGACTGAAATAATTCAACAAACAGATGTAGCTCTGGAGGCATTCATTTGTTTATACCAAGATGTTTGGAAATCAGCTATCTGGCCAACTGACTGGAAAAGATAAGAAAGGTGATCCAACAGAATACGGAAACCATCTAACAATATAATTTCCAGCAAATGCAAGCAAAATTTTGCTCAAGATAATTTAAAAACTGTTGCAGAAGTACACCAACAGGGAGCTCCCAGAAATTCAAGCCAGATTCAGAAGAGGCAGAGAATACCAGAAATACGTTTACTTGTTTATTATTGACAATGCAAAGGTATTCAATTGTTCTGATTATAACAAACTATGGATAACATTGCAAAGAATGAGTATTCCAGAACACAGACCAAGAGGCAGTTGTTAGAACAGAATAAGAGGATACTGAATTGTTTGAAATCAGGAAAGGTATGCACCAGGATTGTATCCTTCCATTATACTTATTCAATCTGCATGCTGAGAAAATAATCTGATAAACTAGATTATATGAAGAAGAGTGTGGCATGAGTATTGGAGGAAGATTCATTAACTCCATGCAATACGCAGACGGCACAACCTTACTTGCTGGGAGTGAGGAGGACTTAAAATACTTACTTATGAAAATCAAAGACTACAATCTTCAGTATGGCTTGCACCTCAATTCTTTTCAAGAAAACAAAAATCCTCAAAAATAACATCATGATAAATGGAGAAAAAAGATTGAAGGTGTCAAAGACTTCATTTTGCTTGATCCACAATCAACACATATGGAAGCAGCAGTCAAGGAATTAAAAGATATGCTGCATTAGGCAAATATGCTGCAAAAGACCTCTTTAAAGTATTAAAAAGCAAAGATGTCAGTTTGAGGACTAAGGTACACCTTGCCCAAGCCATTGTATTTTCAATCACCTCATACACATGAAAGTTGGACAACGAATAAGGAAGACCATAAAAGAATTGATGCATTTGAGTTATGGTATGGGCAATTAATATTGAAAGTACCATGGACTGCCAGAAGAACAAACAAACATGCTTAGAGAAAGTACAGCCAGAATGCTCCTTAGAAGCAAAAATGAGGAGACTTCATCTATCATTCTTTGGACATGTTGTGGGGATCAGTCCATGGAGAATGACATCATTCTTGATAAAGCTGAGTCAGTGAAAGAGAAAGACCCCCAATGAGATGGACTGACACAGTGGCAGAAACAATGGGCTCAAACAAACAATAATTGGAAGGATGGTGCAGCACTCAGTAGTGTTTCGTTCTGTTGTGAATAGAGTCACTAACAACAACAACATATATGTAGGCATCACAGTGCTTATCTTGCAACTACAACTGGGATCCTTAAAACAAGAGCTAAAATATGGCCTTGAGTATATTCCCCTAATTTTGAGCCCATCTCAAGAACAGATTTGATCCACCGAACACTAATGACCAAAAACCAGACGAGTTGTGAGATGATATCAAAGACATCATAAAGAAGAAAGCACAGAAAAGACCAAAATGGATATCAGAAGAGACTATGAAATTTTCTCTTGAACACAAAGTAGCTAAAATGAAAAGAAGAAATGATGAAGTAAAAGAGCTGGATAGATTTCAAAGGGCAGCCCAAGAAAACACAGTGAAATGTGCAAAGACTTGGGAGTTGGAAAACCAAATGAGAAGAACACACTTGGCATTTCTCAAGCTGAAATAACTGAAGGAAAAATTCAAGCTCTGAGTTGCAACACTGAAGGATTGTATGGCAAAATACTGAACTATGCAGAAAATATCAAAAGATAGAAAGAAGAAACAGGATCATTATATCAAAAAAAGGGGGGGGAATTAAGTCATTTCAATAGGTAGCAGATGATCTAGAACTCATGGTACTAAAGGAAGAAATCTAAGTGGTACTGAAGGCATTGGCGAAAAAAATTAAGGTGCCAGGAATTGCCAAAATATCAACTGGAATGTTTGAACAAATGGATGCTGTGCTGGAAGCATCACCAGTCTATATCAAGAAATATGTAACATACATACCTGCCCAAGAAACTGGAAGAGATCCACATTTGTGCCCATTCCAAAGAAAGGTGACCCAACTGAATGTGGAAATTATCAAACAATATTATTGACATCACACAAAAGTAAAAGTTGGCTGAACATAATTCAAAAATGATTGCAGCAGTGCACAGACAAGGAACTGCCAGAAATTCAAGCTAGATTCAGAAGAGAACATGAAACAAGGATATCATTGTTGGTACCAAATGGATCTTAACTGAAAGCAGAGACTACCAGAATGATGCTTGCCTGTGTTTTATTGGCAATGCAAAAACATTAGACTGTGTGAATCATAACAAATTACGAATAACATTGTGAAGAATCAAAATTCCAGAATACTTATTTGTGCTCATTATGAACTTGTACATAGACAAGGTCAGTGGATGGAAAAGAAGAAGATACTGTGTGGTTTAAAATCAGGAAAGGAGTATGTCAGAGTTGCATCCTTTCACCATACTTATTCAATCTGTATGCTGAGCAAATAATCTGAGAAGCTGGATTATATGAAGAAGAACATGGCATCAGGATTGGAGGAAGACTCATTAACAATCTATGATATGCAGAGGACACAACTTTACTTGCTGAAAGCAATGAATACTTGAAGCACTTACTGATGAAGATCGAAGACTATAGTCTTCAGTAAGGATTATACCACAACATAAACAAAACAAAATTCCTCACAACTAGACCAATAAGCAAAAGTTGTCAAAGATTTCATTTGACCTGAAACCACAATCAACATCTACCAAAGCAGCAGTCAAGAAATCAAACAACCATACTGCAAAAGAACTCTTTAAAGACGTAACTTTGATGATTAAAGTGCACTTGTTACAATACCTGGCATTTTCAATCACTTCATATGCATCTGAAAGCCAGACAATGAATAAGGGAGACCAAAGAACTGATGGCTTTGAAATATAGCCAAGAATATTAAATATGCTATGGACTGCCAAAGAAAGAACAAATCTGTCTTAGAAGAAGTACTGCCAGAATGCTCCTTAGAAGTGAAGATGACAAGATCTTGTCTCATGTACTTTGGACATGTTATCATGAGGACCACCAGTCCCTGAAGGTCATCACACTTGGTAAAGTAGACAGTCCATGAAAAACAGGAAGGCCCTCAACAAGACAGACTGACACCATAGTTTCAATAGGTTCAAACATGGCAACAATTGTAAGGATGGCACAAAACTATGCAGTGTTTTGTTCTGTTGTACATAGAGTCACTATGAGTCAGAACTCAACAGCACCTAACAACAGTGCTTGCTTCAAAATTTCACTACAATAAATAACACTGCACTGGATATATTTGACAATAAAGGTTTTTCTATATTGGAATACGCTCAAATTTTTCCACAACACTTTTTTTTTAATTAGATTATAACAATCACCATGTTAAGGTATCAAAATGTGTCGGATCAGTATTATAAAGTGACTATCACATAATCAGATGTACAACTTCTAATCTTTTCTATCCTGACCACAAAATAGAAAGTGATATTTTAGAACCTCTGAAATAGAATATAATTCAAATATATATTACCACATTTCAGTAGGGTCAACCACATTGTAAAGGAATTAGAATGCAGTTCAACTAAAAGCCCTGGATAACTTGAAGGTTCCCCAATCTAGAATTCACAAAACACCCAGCCACAACAAACAACCTTATCGTTTTTAATACACAGGAGTTTTTGTTGTTGCTGTTTTAAATGTAAAAAATATAATCTAAGTAGTAAATTAAAATGACTCAAACTGCATTCCACAAATCTCACAGAATACATGTTGCAGGATGGAGAGTTCAGAAGACAATTGGGGAAAGCAAAAATCAACTTCAATTCTCCAATGTTTATTCAAATGTTGATAATCATATACAGTGGACTGCAAGATTCTTCTCAAAGAGCAAAATGCTTTTATGAACTTTCTCACTCTTACTGTTGCTGTTGTTAAATGCTGTCGAGTCAGTTCTTACTCTTAGTGAAGTTAAAAATTTACAGAAACTCAGCTATAAAATTAGTTTTTAAATTCCATTCATCATAGTGCTATCCTATTTCCTTTTTACTCCAGAAATAAATCCAAAACCAAAGTTACCAGAAGGGCTTAGAAATCATGAGGGTAGAAAGCAAAATAGCAGATCTAAATATATTGGGGGTGGGTTCTTTTATTTCTTTAGGAGTTTGTTTGTTTTTGAGAGCTGTATTTTTTGTGGGCACAAGAACACATGTGGTGTAGACTAGAGAGAAAGAATGTTTAAACTGAAGCAATAGTTCTACCAATAAGAACAGCAAATAGTAGGAGACAACATTAATCTTATATAAATGTTTCTAAATACCATGGTTTGCGTTTTAAAATGACTGCATTATCTACATTAATCATCATTTGGAACCCTTTAATGTTCAAACCAAACTCGAGTGACGAATTCTGTAATTTTTGACCCCATCGCTGTAGGGGTTCAGCGAGTGGCAGTGATGAGAGGCAGGTTGGGGGGCGGGGGGGCGTTCTGGTACTGTGGTTGTGCAAACTGTCAGCTCATCCAACTCTTCAAATGTGTACATTTCATAGGGAGGCAAGCTCCATAAAAACTTAGCTATTTAAAAACAATCAAAAATTTAAAAAAGAATGCTGAAAGCGGGAGCACCTGCTCCGGAAATGCTCCCGAGATGCTGTCTGTGCGACATCCCATTTTAAGGTCGGGCCACAGGGCGGCTCGAAGACACGCCACCCACAAAATCAGGTGTAATGCAAAACGCTTTTATAAAGAACTCGAAGGGGAAATCTTTAAGGCAGGGATGCGCTGGGTCCCCGGCACGTGGATGGCGTGGCTGGTGCTGCCCGGGAGCCGGCGGGAGACTCAGCCTGCCAAGGCCGAGCTCCAGTAGCATCGCAGCCTCATGGGATGGGCAGTCGCGGCTGTGTGGCCTCAGTGTAAGAGGTGCCGGGGCAGCTGGGCACAGGGTCGGGACTACTCCTCCGGGCCGGGACCCAGGCCCCGCCCGACTAACCTGTGACACTGGCCCGGGTGACGCGCTGCACTACGGCCTTCATGACGGCTGCTGCGGCGGCTGGGAGGCGCCGTTTACGCTCTAGTCTCGCGACGCTGGACGGGTCTGCGGCTGGCGCCCTCTAGGGGTAATACTCGGAAGTGCGCCGATGGGCCTGTCTGACCTAGATTGGCGGCCTCTCACCAACCGCAGTGGACACATTAACCCAGGACCTGTCTTTACCCCACTGACCACGGATAGGTTCCTGCCATTGCGTTGGTTCCAACTTATAGTTACTCTGTACAGGGTTTCCAAGGAGCGGCTGGTGGCTTTGAACCACCAACCTTGCAGTTCAAACTGACCTTGCAGTCCAGTGCATCATCCTATAGTGCTCTGCATATATGTATATAACACATGTTGTTGTTGTTGTTGTTAAGTGCCGTCGAGTCGGTTTCGACCCATAGCGACCCTGTACAGGGTTTTCGAGGGTGTAAATCTTTACGGGAGTAGAAAGCCTGATCTTTCTCCCGCGGAGCAGCTGGTAGTTTCGAACCGCTGACCTTAAGGTTCGCAGCCTCTTTTCATGCTATTAAATTCATTAATAGGACAATCAGTAAAATTTTTGTAAAATTTTTCATACACTTGGTTCTCTAGAGAACCAGTGAAGCTTACATATGCATATATACAGAGAGATTATGGAGTCCTGGTGTGGTACAGTAGGGTAAGCACTGGACTTCAAGGTCAGTTTGAACTGCAAGATCAGTTTGAACCTCAAAGTCGGCAATTCAAACTTACCAGTTAACTCATTGGAAACCCAGTACAGGGTCACTATGAGTCAGAACCGACTCAAAGGTACTTAACAACACAGAAAGGCTTATCTCAAGGAAATGGCTCACGCAATTGTAGAGGCTGGAAAGTTCCAAGTCCAGGGGTCCATCGATTCATGGGTCAGGCAAGTTCCAAATCCATGGCTGAAGGCTTCTTCTAACTCACATAGCTTCAGGTATTGATGTAACCAAAAATGACAGATCAGACAGCAGGTTTCTGACTGGGGTGGCAATCAAATCAAAGGTGGCCAGTTAAGATGTCAGGCCGCTGATGACTCCCAGAATCAGCAGGTAACATGGCAGGCCACTGGTTCAAGTTCAAAAAACTGAAAGTCAGATGCAGGATCAAGTCCCAGCAAAAGCAAGCAAACTTTGCCAGTGCATCCATAAATATTGGAGGAAAGTCACACCCTTGTGGAAGCTCCCTTTCAATTGATTGGCTGTTCACATCAGATATAATCATGAGATGCCTACATTACATCATCAGGGGGCATGATTACATCTTATCTGCCAAACCACTGAAAATCTAGGCCCAGTCAAGTTGACACACAACCTTAATGATCACACATTCTTTACACTAGATCAGAGGATCTCCAACATTTTTATTTCAGAACCACTTTACATTTAAAAAAAAAAATTACTAAGCATTAACTTTTGCTAATGTGGGTCATATTAAAAAATATTTACTGTATCAGAAATTGTATCTGAGAAAACTATTCAATATTAATACAGTTTAATATAACAACAATAAATCCATTATATACTAACCCCAGAGCAAGACAGGAATGGAAATGAAAAAGACAGATGTTGTTTTTCTATTATTATGAAACTAGTTTGGAAATAGCAGATCCTCAAAAGGATTCCCAGGAAATATTTTAAGAACTGCTGGTTTCCATAATAGTGCTGAATCAATGTTAATTTCTCAACTTTTATGTGAGAAAATGCCCATGTTTCCAGACACTACACACTGAAGTGTGTGGAGGTAAAGGGGTGTCATATTTACAATTTTTATTCTCAAATGGTTTGAAGAGAACTAATACATATGGAGAAAATAATAAACAGAATGATAACAGAATTCAGAGAAAACACTCATAATCAAGTTATGTAGGTATGGTAAAGTGGAATTGCTTGATAGGGTTCTTCTGTCCTTAGTCTTTGTAACTCTCACCAAATGACTGAGTTGCTGGTAAGTGCTGTCGAGTCAGTTATGACCCATAGTGACCCTGTATAGGGTTTCCGAGTAGCCACTGGTTAGCTTGAACCACTGACCTTGCAGTTCAAACGGCTTTGCAGTCTGGTGCATTAACCCACAGCACCACACCAAGACTCCAAATGACTGAGTGGGACAATGCAAATAGAGTATGTTGTTGTTGTTGTTAAGTGCCATCGAGTCGGTTCCGACCCATAGCGACCCTGAACAGGGTTTCCGAGGCTGTAAATCTTTACGGGAGCAGAAAGCCTCATCTTTCTCCCGTGGAGCAGCTGGTAGTTTCGAACTGCTGACCTTGCGGTTCGCAGCCCGATTCGTAACCACTACACTACTATGAGACTCTAATTGGGGGATTGGTCTGTTTTACCATTCTGCTGGGTTTAAAAGGTGTCATCTCAGAAGCAGGAACAAATGATCCCAGAACCATCAAGAAAGAAGAGTCACGTGCAGAACATGGCCTTTGGTGGGAGAGGCAGTGGCTTGGAGAGACAGAGCAATGGCCTTCCCTTGGTCCATGAATTGAGTAAAGCTAAGTCAGTGCCTTTGGATAGAAGTCTGGCTTTCCAAATGTGCCCTTTGGAATTTATCCTTGGCTTTTATCCAAACTCAAAGGAGCTTTGTAACACTTGCCTGAGCAGGGCAGAGGCCAAAAGGCTGAGTGGTTGAGAGGTTGAGGACAAGTGAGGCCAAGAGGAAGACATGCAACTGTACAACTGAGAGGAGACCCTCCTGACCAGAACACTATCGTATCCTAAGCTGTTTCTGAGCCTGGATTGTACCCTATTTTCACTTCTCTAGTAGACCCATAATTGTGAGTATTGTCTGTGAGTTCTGTGTGGCCATGACAATAAATCACCAAGCCCATCAGAAAAGTAGAGAGTGCCATGGGAGGAATAGTTTGTGTCAGAATAGGGTAAAGAAGATTAGAGAGTAGAGGCATGTCTGACCTCTGTCTCATAGGAACCAGCCTTGGGCTGATGTGGAATTTGATTCTTCTTCTTTGTTGTTCTCAGAGGAGGTCAGACATGGACCTCATGCCATTTTTGCAGTAGGTGAAGTGAACCTATTTTTTTAAAGTTTGAAATATTTCAAAATAATGATTTTATTTTACTTGGACTCATAATGTCCATGATAACAGCAGTGAAGAAAGCAAATGACAAATTGCACCTAACAACAACAAAATATACCAAAATGCCAGTGTTTGTTTTTCTGTTTATTTCATTTGAATAGATCACTATCAGGAGGCAAAAGCATTTAGCAGCATCTCTCTCTCTTTTTTTTTTCTCTAAGTTTCTATTGTGAGTTGGTTACGAATCGGGCTGCGAACCTTAAGGTCAGCAGTTCGAAACTACCAGCCGCTCCGCGGGAGAAAGATGACACTTTCTACTCCCATAAAGATTTACACCCTCGGAAACCCTGTACAGGGTCGCTATGGGTTGGAACCGACTCAACGGCACTTAACAACAACAACAACAACATGTTGTTGTTGCCAGACTGTAAAGCCATTTGAATTGCAAGATCAGTGGTTCAAGCTCACCAGCTGTTCCTCGGAAACCCTATGCAGTGTCGCTATGGGTCAGCACCAACTCGACCGCACTTCACAACAACAACAACGTTGTTGTTAAGTGTTGTCCAGTGGGTTCTGACCCTAGTGACCCTATGTAAGGTTTCCAAGGACCAGCTGGTGAGCTTGAACCGCCAACCTTGCTATTCAAACCTGCTTTGCAGTGCAGTGCATTAACCCACAACGCCACACCATCAACAAATCCAGATATAGCCCATCAACAAATCCTCAATCTCCAGAACATAATGTGAAGTGCCCTGCTCTCTCTATCACTGCACCATTATGTTCCAGATTCCATCATCATATCTCACCTGGATCTCTACCATAGCTTCCTTCCTGGTCTCCCTATAAATATATTATTCCACTAACAAGAAACTGTACAAAGTTGGTTCCTATTAGGCAGAGGTTACACATGTCCAAGGTTTCCAACTTCTCTAAGCTGCTACACCACTCCATCATCTCTGACATCTATCACTCTCCCTCCCCTCAGCTCTCTTCTATCATGTTCAGCAATTTGCTGCAACATCTCACAGAACTCTTGTGATATATACTTTATTAGGGGAGCAACAGGAACACGATCAGCTTGGAAGTAACGGACTGCAACTTGGAATCAGCATCAGGAAGCACATGGGCAAAGTCTGGAAGGCCCCTCAAAAATAAAGAGCACATCCCTCTCTTCCTCCATGTAGGACAGCTTTCCTCGTGCTCTCTCTGCCATGCATAGCCCTCTTGACCATGCACACTGCTAAGCTCTCTTGCCATCTGCAGTGTTACAGCCCTATACCTGTGTACATTTTAAGCTCTACTGGCAAGGTGTTCAGCTCTCACATGCTTTAGCTTTCTCTCTCTCTTACCTTCTCCTACTCTCTCTTTACTTCTCTCTTTACTTCCTTCCTTGCCTCTTCCCTTTATCTCTGAACATCTGTGTGGGATTGGCTCCTTATACAGGCAAGGAGCTCAGTCTTATTGGGGATATTTTCAGTGGTGGCTCTGTTGAATAAGCAGTAGACTGCAAACCATAAGATCAGTGGTTTGAACCCACCAGCAACTCCATGGAAGAGGGATGAGACTTTCTGCTCCCGCAAAGACTTACAGCATCAGAAATACAGGATCTCTATGAGTCGGAACTGACTGCACTTAACAAATGCAACAATTTGCATAATACCACCCCTTATCTATGAGTTTGTCATACTACGGTAGCTTGTGTGTTGCTGTGATGCTGGAAGCTATAAGTTTTATTTTAAATGCGAGCAGGTTTTAGAAGAGATTCCAAACTAAAACAGATTAGGAAGAAGAGACAAAGTACTTCTGAAAGATTAGTCATAGAAAACCTTATAAATAGGAGTGGAACATTGTCCGCTGTAGTGCCAGAAGATGAACCCCTTAAGTTACAAGGCACTCAAATTACAAGTGAGGATGAGATACCTTCTCAAAGTAGAGTTGGCCTATGCAGTGTGAATGGAGAAGCTTTAAAGACCTTAATTTGCTGATGGGGCACAACACAAAATGAAAAAAAAAAAAAAACAACCCAGCAGCA